TGTTTTATTATATGTAAGATTTTGGAATATTGCAAATGACAAAAATCCTTCCTTACAATTACAACTTGGATACAAAACAAAAACATCGAAGCAGTGGACACTGGACAACACTAAACAACTTAAATGCTTGCCTATATAATGACCGAAAGGACTCCCGTATCTCCTCGCAAGACTCACTTCTTCACCATCAAGAAATTAAGAAGAAGAAATCTCAGAAATGGCGGTAATAACATCTCCAGGTGAAGAATACAAACCAAATTTAGACCTTGGAAATCATCATACGCCATTAATCTTCAATCCTTCAGTGCTTAATCTCCAATACAATATCCCAATCCAATTCATTTGGCCTGACGAGGATAAACCTTCCATCGACGTTCCCGAGCTTGACGTTCCACTTATCGATCTCGGAAACTTTCTTTCTGATATTGACTCCACTTCTTCTTCTTCTCTCTCGTCCTCTGTTTTAGAAGCTACCAGTCTCATCTCTACGGCATGTAATAAGCACGGCTTTTTCCTTGTAGTTAATCATGGCGTCAGCGAGGCGCTTATATCAGACGCTCATGACTACATGAGCCGCTTCTTCGATTTGCCTCTCCCCGAAAAACAGAGGGTTCTGAGAAAACCTGGCGAGAGCTGTGGCTACGCAAGCAGTTTCACCAGCCGCTTTTACACCAAGCTTCCATGGAAGGAGACCTTTTCTTTCCCGTTTTCGGACAGCAAGAACCGCTCAAAAACCGTTCAAGATTACTTCTGTGATACATTGGGACATGGGTTTGAGCCATTTGGGTAAGTTAAAAAAATATAGCAAGAAGCCAAAAGAGAGAAAATTTAACATGTCTTTTGTCCTTTTCTCTGTTTTGGGTTTTTAGACTTTGATCGTTGTTTTAATCTTGAACAATTACATGACAAGACTTGTATACTGTTGGTTTGTGGTTGCAGGAAGGTGTATCAAGAGTACTGTGAAGCAATGAGTTCTCTGTCGCTAAAGGTCATGGAGCTTCTTGGACTAAGTTTAGGCGTACGCCCAGACTATTTTCGAGATTTTTTTGAAGAAAATGATTCGATAATGAGGCTTAATTACTACCCCCCATGTCAGAAACCAGATCTCACATTAGGAACAGGACCTCATTGTGATCCAACTTCTCTGACCATCCTTCACCAAGACCATGTAAATGGCCTTCAGGTATTTGTCGAAAATCAATGGCAATCCATTCCTCCTAATCCCAAGGCCTTTGTGGTCAATATCGGTGATACTTTCATGGTAACCATCTAACCCAAAAAAACCAACATCGTTGTTAAATATACTAAAGACATTTGCTAGGTACAGTCATATACTAAACGGGGCTTAATCTCGTTTTGTAGGCTCTATCAAACAAGAGGTACAAAAGCTGCTTGCACAGGGCGGTGGTGAACAGCGAGAGCGAGAGAAAATCACTTGCGTTCTTCTTGTGTCCGAAAAAGGACAGAGTTGTGAAGCCACCGAGGGAGCTTTTAGATAGCATCACACCAAGGAGATACCCTGACTTCACTTGGTCTGTGTTTCTTGAGTTCACTCAGAAACACTATAGAGCAGACATGAACACTCTCCAAGCGTTCTCAGATTGGCTCACAACAAACGCCTCTAAGACTTAAAAATCTTTTTCATGTAATTTCTTGCTAGTTACTATTGTATATTCTATATATTTCATGTATATGGTAAGATGCAATAACACATATTTTGAGTGTCGTAAACCCATTTCATTTGCATTTCGTTCCTAAAATCGGTCCGTCAAACCACCATATTGATTACATAACGAACTATTTAGGAAATCAAGATATATAAATACTTATTAAGAATATAACGAGGATGTGAATATCGGAACATTCAGACTACTATCCTGCTTGGGATGCCTGAAGAAGAATACAAAAACAGTAAACACATCAACTGCCTACAACTAATGAGTACAAATAAAGATTCAAGAGATAAACTAAGTGCGTCATGCATCATCTTGATGTTTCATCAGAAAAAACACAAAACATATGGGCCACCATAGCATAACTAAGAATGCTCTCTGTCTCACAATCATAAGATTCCCAACTCGCAAGTGCTAGTTGGATTTGGGTCTTGTAATTCCATTTTTTTTTCACCGCGTGATATTCTCTCAAAGTTTTCAGAGATATATCCAAGAAGCCAAGATAAGTAGCTTCCATACGTAATTCAAATGAGGCCAATCAGACGATTACATTGAAATCAATCAAGATTTGAAATACCGAAGTCAAAATTTTAACTACCCTAAAACAGGGGATTGCTAACATAAGAAAATTTGGTGACTTCCAACATAAGTGTCGGTGTTGAGATCAATACTCCGATTATATTAGATATCCTTCAAGATTAATAACCGATCAACCGACTTAAACATAGACTAGTATACCACGATTTAACGAGTTCCTCTCCACATAAATTACATTCCTTGTGAGTTATGGATTCCCAAACATCCACTATGAACAAGTGGTATGCTCAGGTTTTAACTCCATCAACCACTGCAACTTCACAAAAATGCAGTATTATAAGAGGTATCAAATCCCAAAATACCATT